TTTTGTATAGACAAAAAAAATCTTTACTCATTTCTTAATGCCAATTTTGTATCATAGTATTTAGAATTAGAAATCATACTAATAATAAGCAAGGTGAACATCTATGACACCAACATAATTGTAATACTGTTAGATAATTTCTTTCTATGAAGAATTTATAACTCATGTCTAATCAACTTTCTCAGGCATAGGATCACATTCCAATTAGAACTGTTTGCTTCTGGCAAAATGTGCAGTCAAGAACTTGGTGTAGTAAAACACTGTAATACATTTTAAATGTCTAATTTGCTTTCTTGCTGAAATCCCTTTCAAAGGATAAATCTGTGGCTCATAGATTTGTATATCATATATAAAAATAGAATTATATATTTATACTATTCTTAAGTGTGAATAGAAAAGAAGTTGAAAGTACAGTGAAACATTTGGAAAATATGCAGTGTATTCTATAAACTGGGCCAGATTGACATTTAGAAAACTTATTTCACCCTATACCCTCTCTCCCTTTCAACCTTCCTTATACTTGAACATCTAGTTTAAGTGGCCCTTCCTCCATAAAATCTTCCCTAGTTGTGCTATCCAGAAATTGTTGCTCCTTTCTATGAATTCAAAACATCTTATTCAAAATTCATAAGCACTTATAATATTCTATCCTATGGTTATGTATATATATATCTTATCTCCTCTACTACATTACGAGAGATTTCCAAAGCTTTGTACATTTTTGAGATCAGGGCTATGATTTGATCGGCATTGTGTACTTAATGCAAAAATTCCCTTTACCAATAAAGATAGGCATCTGTCTTTCAACCTTTAATCTTACAGAGTTTTTTGGGGGCTCTGAGAGGTTAATTGATTTTAATAATGTCACAAGAAGAGTATTTATCACAGACTAGGTCTTCTTGACTTCAATGGTAACTCTATGCTCTACACCATACTGCCTCTGTACACATTTAGACTGTTTATAATTGGATTGGAGAAATGTATCTCAGATTTGCAGAGATGAATGAACTCTTGACCCTTAAAATTATTATTTCTATGATACTAGAAATCCATAGAACTCAACTATTTTTCCTTATACTTTTCCTACTCCACTCCCCAATGGTCTAAGAGTCAAACAAATTGGATATCACTTATTCATTGATTAAACACTTTATCACACATTAAGAGTTATAATGTACTGGAAAGCACAATAAATTTGGAGTCATGGAACCAGACTTCCAATCTCAACTTGTGTGTGTGTACACTTCTATGAAACACTTAATCACACTGGATCTCAGTTTCCTTCTCTATAAATGAGATGAGGAGACTAGATGACCTCTAATATTCTTGGAAGCTTGTGGAAATTAAAGAATATTTGAGATATAATCTTTGCCCTCAAGAAGTGTTAAAAAGGGGCAGCTAGGTGGCCCAGTGGATAGAGCACCAGCCCTGAAGTCACGAGGACTGGAGTTCAAATCTGGCTTCAGACCAAACACTTGACACTTACCAGCTGTGTGACCATGGGTCAGTCACTTAACCCCAATTGCCTAAAAAAAAAAAAAGAAAATTCATGGAATATTTACTGAAATGAATTTTTTTTTAGAACATGAAATGAGAACCTAACTAATGCTAGTTTATTAAATTATTCTGGCCCCTAAGTTTATTGAAGAGGTAAAGTGGGGGATGTGAGTATTTTGGTTGCTTAGGAAAGTACATTTTTCTTGGTTCTCCTTAATAAGAACATGTAATTCAAGTAGTTAAAGTTACCTGAGAAAGTAGGATAATGTATTCATTTGTAAAAAAAAAATTATATGAAAAAATTAGCTTTAAAAGTTTGATAGTGAGCACTAGGATTTACATTAGAAAGAGAAAAAATATCAGAGACAAACACAGCGGCAAATTTTCAATGTGACCATATGAAAAAATAGTTAATTTAAGTGGAAAATAATGACCTATAGAAGACATATCTACTCAGTTTGAAACCAACCAATAGTAGATTTTTTTCAGAATGTCTTTTGCATTTTATAACTTCTACAAGAAACAACAATTTAAAAAATTAGAAGTATACTCTTCAGTGTCTTCTTTGGCTAATAATGTCTATTGCTTTGCCCACTTTTCCTTTCGGTTGATGTCTGTCCTTGTCTTCAATCCCCATGGTGCAGTGAAAGGGCAGACTGGAAAAAATGACAGTTTTATTAGATACTCCTTCCACACCAAGGAAGTATTCAATTGACCCAAGGGGATGAATAAGGAAATACTTGTTGTTAGTGAAGATCTAGTAACAAATAAAGAAGTTGACATGTGGATAATTTGTTGAGATTTTTCAGTTTATGGTGATTTCTTATAACTTTTCTTTCTTTAAAGTGATTAAACATTACACTCATTGGCAGGCACATGTATATGGATTAACTCCCCTCCAAAAGAAATCAACCATTGGAGAATCTGCATATCATATTACCTAAAAATACATTTGAATCTAACAATTAACCTAATTAAAGACAGAGCCAAGGCTAGCCTGCAGTGATGGAGTCAAAAGTCTTGCATTGGTGGGGAAATAGTGGCCTTTGACGACAATCTTAGAATTCACACAATCTGGGATTTTGAGGGTTGCTGGTGTGTGTTGGGGGAAAAAAAAGGGTACTATACAGAAATATTCTTGTGGATAGAGAAATACAGCCCTGGTCTGCATCCAGCCATAACTCCAGCTGATTTCAATTACAACTCCACCCTGGGAAGAGACTTCAGAACTGCACTGATAATATAAATGAAGACCATATCTAGAACAGATGACCAGCTCCATAGGAAAGCTTTTTAGGCCTGTTTCCACAGAAGCTTATCACTGATTAGTGCTTAGAACTACCTACTCAGCCTTACTTCGTTCTGCTTATTGCAAGAATATATATTAAGAGATTGGTTAGAGATAGAAAAATGTGAACTCATTCCAAATCAGCATGGTATAATAGACAGACATAAATAATACATGTCATGATGTTACGAGACAGTTTGAGAGCATATGGAATGAATGACCACTTCACACATGGCCTACCAAGGGTTTAATTTACCTTTGCTCATAGGAGTGTAGCTACAAAATGTGATGAAGGTTAAAAAAAAAAATGAACTAGGACTCTATGTTCACCTAAACATACTAATTAACATTCTGTGATATGATCATGAACCAGAAAGTTATCTTGTTGAACAGTCTCTGTGCAGAGAAACAATGAGAAGGCAAAGACTTTTAATGCTATATTTATATAATAAATGTTAACTAAATAATTAAATAAATAAATTACGTATAAAAATTACAGCTACTATTTAGTCATTTTGCATATTTTCCTTAAACTTAAATACTTAATTGCCTAAGTTTTGCTCAGATTTTGATATCTCAGGAAAATAGTCCAGCATATATCTTTATCCTAAAGTTATTTGAAGGATACACTTAAAAAAAAAAGAAAAGAAAAGATAACTGAGGAAACAGACATGAAAAAAAAACCCTGTTTTTGTCTTTTAAAATTCACCAATGAGCTTCATAAGGAAACCAAGTGTCCAACCTAATGGTGCTTAATGTTATCCGTTCCATTTAAAATTAGTGTAAACTCCATTGAACTAATTTCTATTTCTTGGGGATAGTGTAATTTTCAACTACTTACCTCATATATTTCATGGCCACTGAATCTGATTATATATGATTAATTCTGGCCAAACTATTTTTTACAACTGTATGTTAATATTGATCACCTCTTCCATGAAAGATCTAGAAATGCTTCCAACATTTCCTCATACTGAAATTAGATAATGAAAGCTATTCCTCTTAGGATGGTATAGATTTTTTCAAACAAGGATGTATTTTTAAAAGTGTTTCAAAATAAGACTGATTTTGCAGAAATTGTGCCTTTAGCAGAGAACAAGAGTTAGAGGGTTTTTTTGTTTGTTTCATTTTTTTGTTGTTGTTAGACTTCAATATAGATAGATCTAGGACTTAGCTTGGATTTTTTTGGATGCTTTTCTCACAAGTGTAACTTTTCAGTGCATTCTTATTCTGCTTGATTCTTATCCCTACCCTTCCATAAATCTTTTGCTGAAGATTTGGAGGTCTTCTTACTTTAGATCATTGTGGATACAGGCACAACATTCAAGCTGTCTGTTAGTTGCTGTAGATGCATGACAATCCACTTCCTTTTCTGGCCATACATACCTTTAATGTTGTCTTTCTTCTTTTCATTTTCAATAACCTGCTTATCCTCCGCCATGTATCTCTGTGTTGCTTTTTGGGTCAGTCACAATTTTGATTCTTCTGAGATCCTGATATTGCATGGCTCATAGTTGTAGGCAACATCACCAGGAGAACACTGGTACTTAAAAGCTAAGCATTTAATTAATAAACATCTTGGAATTATTAAAAGTATTGTTTCTCTTCAATTCTAGGCTTAGCTCAGTTTCCATTTGTCTAAATATATAAGGTTGAACAAAGTGAATAGGATGCTATTCCAGTTGCATGACACAATATGTGCACTATTCTTCATTGATTTTTTTATCCCTTGTAGATTGCTAGAGCATGGATTTCATGTAGTATTTTATAATTCCATGCAGTCAGGATGATTGATATTTTTGCCATCTATAGATTTCTTTTCCCTTCAGAATTTACACAAGAAATTCCCTGTACTAATGGTGAATATCTTGATGATCAATTTCACGTGGTATTGATCATCAAATTATCCATCTCAGTGACTATATCACTCAAGAAATTTTTCATGAGCTTTACATATGCATGATTGTTGGATAAGATAGGATAGATATTATCAGCTCAGAAATAACCCTATAGTCCAGTGTGAGTGGAAAAAAAAAAAGACTATTAGACAATTGAATATACCTTCCCTGGTAGATTGGGGTCATACTGAAAGCTTTTAATGTCGTTCTGATGAATCTGTCTTCTCATACTAGGAGCTATTGAAAATGTCTAAGTATAAAATCACACGGATAGACATGTACCTTAAGATAAGAGCTGGGCGGTTTGGTGGTCAGCTATGGCAGGTGTTTGGGCCAGGCGACTGCAGGCTGCGATGTGGCACCAGGCGCTGCTACTCCGGCTCTGGCTGGCTTTGGCTTCAGTGGAGGGGCTTTACTTCCACATCGGAGAGACGGAGAAACGCTGCTTCATCGAGGAAATCCCCGAGGAGACCATGGTTATCGGGAATGACCGCACGCAGGCATGGAATAAACAGACAGAGACCTTCCTGCCTTCCACCTCCGGGCCGGAGATGCATGTGGAAGTAAAGGATCCGGTTGGAAAGGTAATGTTATCACGGCGGTGTGATTCAGAAGGCCAATTCACCTTTACCTCCCATGCCCCAGGTGACCACCAGATCTGTCTGTACTCCAATTCTACTCGAATGATCATCTTTGCCGAGGGCAAAGGAAGGGTACATCTGGATGTACAGGCTGGCGAGCATACCAACAATTACCCTGAAATTGCTGCTAAGGATAAATTAACAGAACTACAACTCCGTACCCGCCAGTTGCTTCATCAGGTGGAACAGATCGGAAAGGAGCAGAATTACCAAGTGTATTGTGAGGAGTGCTTGCATATGACCAGCGAGAGCGCCAACCAGAGAGTGCTATGGTGATCCATTGCTCAGACTCATCCTCATCCTCATTGGCATCAGGCAGATACCACGCCTCAAACGTTTCTTTGAGGCTAAAAAGCTGTTATAAAGTTCTTTCCTGTACAACCCCGTTCCTTTCATCCCACTTACTCGGTACTTTCCCTCTTTAACACCCTGGCTGCTTGGATTTGGGATGAAAAAAAAAATTGAGAATATATGCACCTTTAGTTCCATGGCAGTCACACCAATTAGGCTGAGGTTAATAGCCACCGGACTACATAGAAACTATCCCCATCTCCCCCCAATGAAGGTCATAGGATTCTGGTTAAAGCCTACACAAAAATCCTTCTGTACTCTGGGGAAGAGCTTGAGCTAATCAGAACACAGTCTTGATTTCATGGTGTGCCTTTTTCCTTGTCCAGTCATCTCTCCTAGCCCACTGATTAAGTACATAAGCAAAGGCCACTCACCAGTTTCCTTAATTTCTGATTTTCTTTTATTGTGCCTATGATGTGTATAACTGAAGTGCCACGAATAGGACACTCTAACCTCACTACTGTCTAGTTACTCCTGGCTTCACTGAGATGATCTGTGACAGTAAAGAAGTTGGTAAGTCTTGGATACCAAAGGAATGAGATTTTTTTAAACACAACAAATATTTTTAACGTGTGTATTTTATCCTTCATATCTGAAATGTCACTGCCTGTGTGTCAGAGTGGTTCAAAAGATCAATGCAGAACTGACAGTCTTCAGTACTGTCTATCTGTACATATTTTTTTTATAATTACTGTGGCAGCCCTAAGACTCTTCAATGAAAGTAGGGACTCAAGCTGACATTTCAGCCTATTGCTAGTGAGGCCTTGCCTCTAAGTCATGCACAGGCCCCTTCAGACACTTGAGCCCCTTACATATATGAAGGGGATGTGAAGTTAAGGTAGGAAGCTGTGGAGTGAGCAGTTGGAGGCAGTCAATTTTCTTTCCTTTTTCTCTCTTCACCTCACAGAGCTGCAAATTGTTAAATTTTATTTAAGATACAGCAAATATTTTCTCCATGGGTCCCAGATTCAGTTATTTCTATGGATTTTCCAGTGCAATAAAATCTGTTCTGGTAACTTGAAAAAAAAAGATAATTATTTTGAAATTTATGTGGAAGATAGATTGGAAAGAGGAGAGAGGGAAAAGAGTGAAATCAATTAGGAGGCTAGTATAATAATCTGGGAACGAGTTGAGGAGGGTCTGAATTATGTTCGTAACAGTGTGAAGAGAAAGAAGGGGGGCAGATATTTATGATTCCATAGAGGTACAATTGAAATTGTCAGCTACTTGTACAGAGTGGTAGGGACAATGCAGAAGCAGAGTATCTCTAAATATCTTTGGTAGTGAATGAAAAGATTGCTATGCCTTCAGCAAAAACAGGTGGGTTTGGAGGAAAGGACAAGTTTAGTGAGGATGATAATGCATGATGTTTTAGATCTGTTGAGTTTAATGTGCCTATAGGATATGCTGCTAGAGATGTCAAATAGAGTAAGATGATGGCTGGGCAGGAGTTCTTAAAAAACATACTGGATTTATACATTTAGAAGACATCTGCCTAGAGCTGTCATCTTCTATAGGAGTTGTTGAGCTCCACTGGGGAAAGAATAAGAAAAAAAGAGACCAAGTGAAGAACAGTTTAGAAAATCTATTACTTGGTGGAAGAGATGGTTGATGGATGATCTTGCAAAAGAAGTAGAGAAAGAGCTGCCAGACAGGAAAGAAAAGAAGGAAGAAAGTAGAGTCATAGGAGCCAAGGAGAAACAATTGAGCAAAAGTTTGGAAACAATAGTAGAATGATGATTGAGAAAATGGCCAGGATATTCATCAGGTAAAAGATCTCCTTAATCAGATATTTGTAAAGTCCACTTGTGAATTCCTTAAAAATTCCGACGTCTTTAGCAATATTTGTTCTGTTTTTTTTTCTGCCCTGAGTCTGTGTTAAAGACAAAATGTTATGACTAGTATTATCTATGTTGAGAAGGGATCAATATAGAATATTGGGAAAATATGTTCATACACACATATACACACATATGTATATAAATATACGTATAAGCATACATACACACATATACATATATACACATATGTATAATATGTACACTCGTGTGTAAATATATATTTTTTCAACCATTCAGTTGTGTCTGACACTTTGTGACCCTGTGGATCATATTGCCCAGGGGTTTGCCATTTCCTTCTCCAGGTGTGTGTATGTGTGTGTGTGTGTGTGTGTGTGTGTGTGTGTGTGTCTGTGTGTCTGTGTGTCTGTGTGTATACACACACAGAAAGAGATGGAGAGAGACAGAGACAGAGACAGATGGAAACAGTGAGCTAGAGATAGACAGAGACAGAGACTTTCTTTTTTTCCTCCCATAGACTATAAGCTTCTCGAGAATAATGACTTCCATTTTCTTTCTATAAGCAACATTCAACACAGTGCTTAGCACATTGTGTACAATAAAGCCTTGTTCAAACTCCAAAAGAGTCATGATGGAAAATGCTATCCAAATCCAGAGAAAAAATTTTGGAGTCTGAATGCAGATGGAAGCATACAATTTGTTCTCCTTTTCTTTTGTTGTTTTGTTTTGTTTCTTTTTTCTCATGGTTGCTCCTGTTAGTTCTAATTCTTCTTTACCCCCTGAATAATGTGAAAATATGTTGAATATGAATGCATAAGTAGAGCTTATATCAGATTGCATGCCATCTTGGGGAGGGGGCAGGAGAGGGAGAGGGATAAAATTTAAAACTCAAAATCTTATGGAATTGAATGTTGAAAACTAAAAATAAATAAATTATATAAAAAAAACTTTTTTCCACCAAAAAAAAACTTGTTCGGTTATGACAGTGGAAATTTCTAACACTGACTCTGGAGTCATTGGAGTATCAAGCCACTAATTTTTACTGTTTATAAGGACTTCAGCAAGTCACTTAAGGTTCATGGGTCTTGATTTTCTTTTGTGTAAAATGAAGGGGTTATGGTAGATGGGCTCTGAGATAATTTCCAATTCAGAATCTGTATGTTCTATATATTTCAAAAAACATTGATTTGGGGCTAGTACTTACATTATCTTCTCACTTTTATCCCTTTTTCTGATTTGATATTGATTGTTGAACTTTATTCTATCAAGTACGTGATCTGACTGCACACAGATAGGAAACTACCAAAAGAAAACCATATTAATCGTCCATTGTTTTTCATCTATGATAGAACCAATTTACCATATTTTGTTCAGTCATCTCCCAAATGATGAATACTGCCTTCATTTCCCATTATTTGTCACCATAAAAGAGCTACTCTATGTGTATGAATAGATAGATAGATAGATAGATAGATAGATAGATAGATAGATAGATAGATGTAATAATTTTAACAGGTCCATATTACTTTCCAAACAGTCTAAACTAATTCATAGGTCCATTTCAAGGTAAAAATACAATTTCAAATGGAATAATCTATTTCAATTTTTATTAGGTTATTAGGTTTTATGTGTCTTTTGACTATCCTTGATGAAGATATTCATGATAGGAAACTTTGACTCTTAGATTCTTCATCAAGCAACCTATTCTGTATTGAAATACCCAAAACATTAATTTTCTATTTAATTTTGAATATAACTACTATTAAAATCAATCATTTGTCATGCCCACAAACTTTTATTTGTGCTCTGGAATAACAACATTGTGTAGTGGATGGGCTTTGAAACAAGAAGATTTGGTTTCAAACACACTTTTGATTTACTGGATAAGAATACTTGCTCTGTCTTAGTTTCAAGCTTCTCTTTGAAAATTACCAGTAAACTATGTTCCAGGCTCTGTGCTAATAGTTATCAAAACAAATAAAAATAAAAGTAGTCCCTATCCTCATAAAGCAATTATTCTAAAGAAGGAAATACAACTAGAGAAAGGATAACAGAAGAGGGGTTCTTTGGTCCAAAAATTCACAGGAGTGGTGAATAGGGCCATAGGGAGGTAGATTGGTGCATGCCATCCATTCATCAACAATGACAGAATTTATTTGATCATAATGGTTCATGTTTCCAGAATGGGGGTGAGTGTTTAAGAGGAAAAGATATGACTGCTGTGGAGAAGGTATCTACAAAGGAAAGCAAGAAAAGAAGTATTGATGCTGAGGCTTTGCTGAAATAATGTTCTTAGGAGAAGAATTCACCAAATAAGAAAGCAGGGCTCCAGGAATGTCTTTTCTCTCAGTCAGTGATAACAAACTCAAATAGAAGTGGAGGACACTTCACCATCTATAAGGATCTCTATGTGCTGTTTATTGATTTAGAAAACAACGTATTAATATTATCTACATTTTATTCTATATTTATTTATTTTGTTACATGTTTCCTAGTTACATTTTAATCTAGTTCCTGAAACTCTTGAAAGTGCCATGGCCTACATCATGGTATCTGATATGATTGACAAGGTGGTAGATGACCATAGGATTATTGACCTAAAATTGGAAGGGGCATCACAGGCCATCTACTTTAATCACTTTTTATAGATGAGGAAACAGAGGTCCAGAGCAGTTAACTGGCTCACCCAATGTCAGCAAAGTAAATAAATATCAGGGGTAGAATTTGAACTGAGGATAATATGAATATTGCTTAGGAGATAAGAAGGTGGCTGCGATAATAGTCCTTCAGTTCTAAAAGGCTACATTCTATTTAAGATGATGTAGTACGTATGTTAGTGGCGATAAGTTTTATAAGCAATCCTGAAAGGGAAGAAATCACTGTTCACTGAATTGTTCAGAAAAATGTTTAATAATGGAAGTATGACTAGATCTGTCCATGGTAGGATTTTCCTACAAAGAGAAAAATGGAGGATAGCGTTTCAGACAAGGAGAATAGAAGGGGGGAAAAAAGAACAGTGAAAAGAAACAGACAGTTGTTATTTACAAGACAGGTGGAAGCATCTAGTTACAATAAAGCAACTCTAGTTCATAGCAATAAAAGATAAGTAGAGGTAGATAGGTTGAC